ATTCGAATTATTAAGGCACCTACATTACAGTCTGGGTCTAAGACATTGAACGAAAGCCTGTTAAAGCCATCGAAAAACCCCAATGCTGAAACCTTGGCACTAGATCTGAGAGGCGAAGCCTCAACCCGAAACCAACACACCCGAAGGCCTAGAAGACCCTGGCATCGGCCCTAATAACATCCGTACAAAATTGGGCTCTTGCTAAGGAATCTAATTTAATTGAGCTGCCATAATAGGTAAACCATATTATTTACTATATAGACCCCTAGTATGGGTCCCTTAACAAGAACCCAGAAAGCCTTAGGTGATTCACCGCGCCCTGGAAGTCGCAGCAAGTCGTTCCTACGACGGGGTACGCTTGGGGCTGCTGAAGCACCTGATTCCCACGAGGCCCCGCCATTTAGGGTTTAGGGTTTAGGGTTGTAGGGTTTAGGATAGAGGCCTGGATATTTCGAGGAGGGTTCCTTGACGGGCTCCTTCTAGGGTTCTACAATATAGGGGCCCTAACGACCCTGAATGATGTGAATAGGGCTTCGGGATACACCCCTAAGCCCTAAACCCTAAACCGTACAGTATAGTTTTGGTGAACCCCTATGGAATGGTGTTGGCAGTTTTATAGTATGTTTTTGTGGTGGGAAGGTCTTATGGGGGCCCTTACAGAAGGGTTAGCCGGAAAGTCGAAGAGTTTGTGTGTGTTTTGAGTTGAATCCTAAACCCCATAAGATAGACCCAGGGTTTAGGGTTTAGGGTTGTAGCCCAAACCCTAAACCCTAACCCCAAACCCTAAACCCTAAACCCTAAACCCCAACTACTAAACCCTAAACCCTAAACCCCAAACCCTAAACCCTAAACCCCTAACCCCTAAACCCTGAACCCTAAACCCTAAACCCTAAACCGAACCCTGACCCCATGGACCCTGAGGTTCCCAGCCTTGAAAATCAGGGTGTCGGGCTTAAGCGGTTTAGGGTTAGGGGTTTAGGGTTTAGGGTTTAGGGATTTAGGGTTCAGGAGTTTAGGGTTTAGGGTTTAGTAGTTTAGGGTTTAGGTTTTAGGGTTTAGGGTTTAGGGTTTAGGGTTCTCGCTTTCAGGACTCATGGTTTGTTCATGCTGAATGTTTTAAGCGGTAAGGGTTCAGGATTTAGGGGTGAGGCCCTAAACC